CCCTAAGGGGCGGGCCCGACTCTGCCCCGAGCTGCTTCGAAGAACGCCGCCCGAGCACGCCCGAGCTGCCCATCCAGCCCCCGGTTTGGGAAGGCAGAGGGGGCAGTGACAGGTGTCCTGAGGTCGGGATGACTGGCCAGGGCAGCAGCGACGAGCTGGCCCGTATGCCTAGCGTCGTCGCAACAGCAGCACCCACCCCGCTCAGCTCTGCCAGCCCTTGTCGCCTTGGGGAACCTCCTGGCTGAGGAGTAACGGACAAGTCCTCGTTGTCCCCGGTGGGGGCTGCCCATTCAAGCTCCTCTGCCCTACCACAGAGAAATCGGGGCGGGCCTTGGTCGCCTCTCAAACTGATTGCTCCGCTGCAGCTGCCGCCGGCCTGGCACTGCCCCCAGCCTCCTCCTCCTGGCAGCTCTGGGAAGGAACATGCGCCAGGTCCCACAGACCCAGAGGTACCTGCAGGGGGAGTGGAGACGGTGCCGTCTGGGCTGTCGTTCTCTGCCAAGTCAAGCAAGTCTGCCTTGGCCTAGAAAAGGGAGGGAGAGGGCAGGATCTACAGGCCCAGGGTATTCACATTTGTCCAAGCTTAAGCGTGAGAATTCTGTTCTTCCCCTCTTCACTCCTTGAGCCTGGTCTGGGACTCAGTTTCCACCTACCTGAATAAAGAAAAGAGAAGAGAGAGTCCATGGATGCAGGGTTCCAGCTTGACTCCAGAAGTCCCTTGCTCAATCGTGATGCACAAAGGGACCCTGCAGCACTATTGTCCCCAAGGTCCTTCCTGGGGTCCCACTGGCTAGGGTTCAGCAGGTGGAATAGGGCTCCATGGAGGAGTCAGATCTGGCTGCCACTGTCAGGCATCTGCGCCTGAGCTGCTTTGCCACAGGGCAAGGTGTAAGGAGCCTTCCTCAAATGCCAACCTCTCCCTGGGTCTTCCGGCCTCTTGATGCAACTGAAGAGGGTGGCTCTTGCCTCACAGAGACCCCAGTAACCTGGCTTTGTGAGAGGGGCCCTGTCTGCTGGAACTCCTCCCCCAAGAAGGGTTGGATAGAACTTGGATTTGGGGTACAGATCTGTCACCCCATCGGCAGCCATCCTGCTGGCTGGGGGAGGAGCAAAGTGAGGCTGCAGAGCTCCAGATGGCTGGGTGACTTGAGAGAATGCTCTGATGCCCAGTAGATGACTGGCAAACCAGATCAGCTTTGTCTTTCAGCCTTCTGACCCCTCCTCCCTGTCCATTAGTCTCTAGCCAGAGGCCAAACTGGCCAGACCAGGACCCTGGAGCCTGAGGGGAGAGAGCAAGAGCAGGACCCTGGCTCCCTGCTCCAGGGTGGATGTACAGCTCTGGCTCAGAGCCTGGAGCAGACTGGAATGGATGAACATGTTTGCCTGCGGGGCAGAAGCACGAATGGCTGAAGGATGCTATTTGCCCTGGCAGGCCAGGAGCTGGGCATGGAGCAGCTCCTCGGCCCCACCCCCTCCTTTTCACTTAACACCATTAACTAATCATTTTCTTCTCCGGTGGCCTGAAAACAAAGTCAGCTAACCACCAAGGACAGTCAGTTCTTAATTCTTCTTCCGCCCTTAGGAGAGTAAAGCCAGGTGTGGGGGTTGGAGGAGCCTCTGCAGGGAAAGGGAAATTAGATTAGAGGCCAGGATGACAGTCTCTCTCCTGCTTGGTCCCAGCAAACAAGCACAAAGACTGTCCTTTAAGACAGCCAGTAGCCTAGAGTTGGGATACGGTGGGTATGCAAGGTCAGGAGACAGAGTTTAGGGATGGTTTCCTAAGGAGAATACTTTGGGAAAAGTTTTCAATTAGCAATAATCACGCCTCGGATAAACCTCATTGGCTACGATACTGCCACTGCACAAAGCTTAAGGAGAATACTTTGGGATTCCAAACCAAAGTGGGGTCAGGACCCTGGAGAGGATTCATGGGGGACCAGAAAAGGGAAGGACAGGAGTGAAGACAGGCAGCAGAGCAGGAGGTGGCAGATATGGTTCTCAGCTCCCTTAAAACACCAGAGGATTGAGCTCGAGGGCAGTAGCAGGAAAGAGAAGGTGGCAGCAGCAGAACTCCCAGCAAGCAGGGATTGAGACTAAGCAGCAGGGAGATGAAGATAATGGGCAGAGATGGGCCTGGCACCTGGCAGACACTCAAGCACCTGGCCTGGGTGGGAGCAGCCTTGCCCAGATGTAGGCCAAGGCCGGATGACAGGCCTCTGGGGGCAGAGTTCTAATCCTCTGCCTCATTTCCCTCCGGAGGTGGGGGCCAGACTGCTGCTTTCCTCTACCCACGTGGGAAACCCATACTGCTAGGGAAAAGACCCTCCTGTTGGAATGCCCTGTGTGTCTCTGGTAGGTCTGACCACAGGAGGAGTAACTGAGGCTGTGTGTGGTCCTGGTCTGGCCCCTGGATGCGTATAGCTCTCCACCAGCATAAATGGGGAAGATGGCAGTAAAAGGACAAGGACAGGGAAGGACTAGACCCCACGAGTTTCCCTCAACTCTTAGAGGACACCTTCTGGCGCAGGGGCCATACCAGGAGGATGTAAGAATGGCGGCTGGGCTGAGAAAGAGGAAGGAAGCTGAGAAAGACATGTTTGCAGCTGCAGAGAAGACGATGGAGTGGGGTGGGGGGTGGCCCAGCAATCTTGGCAACTATGGAGTCTGGGGAACCCCCTAGTCTGACCAGAAAATAGGACCCAGTCTGGGTCTCTTTGGAAGGGAAGTTAAGAGACTTCTCCAGAGTGAGGGTCTGATGGGAAGGAGATTGTTCTAAGGAGTGAAAACAGGGTGGGAGGAGGGGGGGCCGTTGCTGCTGAGAACATCCTAGGGCCAGGAAACAGGATACTGGAGGGCTGGGTGGAAGATGAGGGGGAAGAGATTGAATGAGGGGAAGCAGCCCCGCTCTTGGCTCGCGACACAGTCTCACCCATGTCCTTGCACCTGACCCAGGGCAGAAGGAAGGAGGTTCAGTCAGTGACACTGGTGCCTCCCCGACACCATGGGAGAGGTGGAGGGCGGCTTGGGGGGGATGGGCTATTTTTAAACTTGGAAAAACCGTGAGTGAGTTCATCCCCACCCTGGAGGCTGCAAAGGCCCCATTGTGCAGGGGTCTGGAGAAGGGGGAGCAGGGAGTGGTGGCACAAAGGCCAGGCTTATGCTAGAGCAGGCAGGGGGAGCACAGGCTGGGGGAGGGGCGGCGGCCCAGCTGGCCTAGTGAACTCCAGGTCGGACTAGGCTGGGCTTGTTGGGCTGACGCTGGGGGTGGGGGTCCACGGACAAATCTCAGCTGGCCTAGTGAACTCCAGGTCGGACTAGGCTGGGCTTGTTGGGCTGACGCTGGGGGTGGGGTTCCACCCGCACAAATCCCCCCGTTGGGGAGCTGGGGTCTCTGGCATCCGGTGGCGCGTCCTGGGGAAGGGGCTGATGGTGGGATTCCTCCGCCTGGCTTTCCCAGGAACTGCAGGGTCTGTTCCCAGGCTCCCAGCATTCCGGGGACTCCCCTGGGAGCTGCTGGCCTCTCCTCTCGGCCCCTTCCCTGCCAGAGAGTGATGAGAGAGCAGGAGAAAGAGGATGTGGGTGCATGGGGTCTTTTCCTGGGGGCTTGGGGCACCACGGGAGGGCAGCAGCTGTTAAAGGATCACAGCCCTCCCATCTTAGCCCCCAGCCCCAGGACTGGCCCTCTTGTTCCCGTAACCCAAGGAGTCAGGCAGCGCACCTGCCTGAGTCCGCGCTTCGCGCCTAGCGCCTGCACCAGGTTTCGGGAGCGGAACTTTCCTCTGGCGCCCGGCTACTCCCGGAGACCCGAGCTCTTCTCCGCCAGCTCCGCCTAGCTGAGGCCGGGGGAGGCGGGGCATCCGGCCGCGCGCATCAACCCAAACATTACCATAAATGCTCAGGCTGCCTCTGCGGGCTCGGGCGGGGGACCTTGGGGCTCTCCGGAAGCCCAGAATCTGGTCTCCACGCCTTTCCCAACTTGGCCTCTACAGTGATTCACTCTGTCCTTTCCGGTCGCCCTCTCTGCAAAAGTGGGGTGGGGGTGGGGTGGCGCTAGCGAGAGAACCGAGGCTGCGTGGGGAGTCCGGGGGCTGGTTCCCGGGTGGGCAGTGTGGCTGTGACCGTGGTCAGGGCATAGTAAGACCCTCCAGGCAGGAATTCAGGATCGCTGCAGGGGTCACCCGGTCTCTGCGGAACCCACCTGGGGCAGCGGTGATTTCCTGGGTCTCAGTAATCTGTGGCCTCAGGGTCCCTAATTCCCTTTCTACTTCCCAGTCCCCAACTACATTTGGAGAATGGAGATGGTGGAAGCAGGGAAGAACGCTGAGAATTGACATTTCTCCCTTTCAGGGACCTTCACATCCGGTCCCCAAAATAACCACCACCCAGGGAGGGGAATGTCTCCAGAGGAACATTCTGTTTAAATTTGACTTTGAGCTGTCCCTGAAGGAAGGCCAGCTGGCCTAGTGTGGGGAGCCTGTGGGAACCCGGGAGTGCCTTGTTCTGGGTCTGCAGGTCCCTCTCCTCTGGGAAGAAGCCTCATGGATTTCCTCTGCCCTTAGCTTTGAGCAGACCAGGAAGGAGCCTGAACTCCTCTGGAGTGGGGAGGTGTAGAGGCCAGAGTGATGTAGGAGAAGGTATAACTCCCAACCTGCTAGATTTCAATCTGCTGAGTTCACATTCCCTGAAATCAAAGAATGAACTATAAGGAACCAGAGGTTTAGCGTAGCAAAGATTTACTGAGCGATAGCTCTTGAGAGACAGGAGGGGGCCCAAAGTGGGTTGCCACAGTCCACTTCTCTGAGTTTTTTTTTTTTTTTTTTTTGGTAGTGGGATCAAACACGAGTCCTTGTGCTTTCGAGCGGGCGGCAGAACCACTGAGCTAAATCCCCGGCCCCCACTGAGAATGTTTTATATAACAAAATCACAAGGTTGAGTACAAAATCACAATTCCAGTACTCTGGGAGGCCCAGGAAGGAGTACCATGGACCAATAATTATATTTCAACATCTTTAGCTATCAGGGAGATGCAAATCAAAACTCCACTGAGATTCCATCTCATCCCAGTCAGAATGGTTATCACTGATGTGGATATCAACAATATGGATGAAACTATGACCAACTAATAAGATTACAAGTATAGCTGCTTAGGTAATAGTGATCCAGTAGGGAAGAGGGGTTCGTAGCAAGGGTACATGAAAAGAACAAAGGCATTTTTGGGAAGGAATAAGTTCAGAGGTTCTGGTTAACTATCTGGGTGAGTAATATCTAGCTAGACTTTATTGGACCAGGTGGTACCAATTAAAGCATAATCTCAAATTATTGCCTATCTCTTCGGGAGTCATGCAGGCCTGGCCATTCCATCTTTATCTTGAGGCCTGGCCTTTGACAGGTGTACCTCCAGCTACACTTTCTGGTATGTTCTCATCTCCCCCAATGACTCTCTTGAGGGCCTAGCCCGGTCTGACTGCCTACAATATTTCTACCTAATTTAGCTGTCTATAATTAAAGGAAAGAAGGGGGAAAAGGAGAACTAAGGCTTGCTCCTCCTGCACCCCATACCTGCCAGTTGGGTGTCAAGGGAATTTGAGAAGTGGAGAGGATCCAGGATGTAGACCCAACTGGAGCCAGGTCAGATGATGGCTCCGTCCCTTCAGGAGCCTGGCCTCACATGACACACTACAAAGGGACTGGAGGCTTTGAGACAGCCTTCGTCCATGATTAGCTGGTCCCTGGCAAGCAACCAGACAAGGACTATTCAGAGGGCCCATGACAGTGCTCTGACCAAGGCAAGGGACAAGAAGCCACACATCTCGTATTTGCAACAGTGCTTTATGACTTAGAGCTTTCACTTAAGAGTAATTTCCCTGACCAATGTTTATTTTTACAACAACAAAACAAGGAAATTGAAACACAAGTACATGATCTGCACAGCAAAGGAAACAACCAGTTGAGAGGAGAGCCAGCCCACAGAATGGAGATCAGATGGCAGCACACATCTGTGATTCCAGCACTCTGGAAGGCCGAGGCAGGAGTACCATGGGCCAATAATTATATTTTAACATCTCTAGCTATCAGAGAAACGCAAAACTCCACTGAGATTCCATCTCACCCTAGTCAGAATGGTTATCATCAAGAACACAATGGGCCAGGGATTTAGCTCAGTGGTTCCTCTGCCTGCCTCCCAAGCACAAGGACCCAAGTTTGATCCCCAGTACCAAAAAAAAAAAAAAAAAAAAAAATAAAAAAAAAAAAAAAAAAAAAAATAAAAAAAAAAAAAAAAAAAAAAATAAAAAAAAAAAAAAAAAAAAAAATAAAAAAAAAAAAAAAAAAAAAAATAAAAAAAAAAAAAAAAAAAAAAATAAAAAAAAAAAAAAAAAAAAAAATAAAAAAAAAAAAAAAAAAAAAAATAAAAAAAAAAAAAAAAAAAAAAATAAAAAAAAAAAAAAAAAAAAAAATAAAAAAAAAAAAAAAAAAAAAAATAAAAAAAAAAAAAAAAAAAAAAATAAAAAAAAAAAAAAAAAAAAAAATAAAAAAAAAAAAAAAAAAAAAAATAAAAAAAAAAAAAAAAAAAAAAAAAAAAAAAAATCAAAAAAACAAAAAATAATTAATGCTAGCTAGAATGTGACACTGTTGGTGAGAATGTTAGTACAGCCACAATGTAAATCAGTATGGAGGTTTCTCAAAAAACTAAAAGTAGAAGTGCCTTATAACCCAGCTCTATCACTCCTAGGTATGCACCCAAAAGAATTAAAGGCATAGTGTGCGCATACTATAAGGATACTGTTATGGTTCAGATCTAAACTGTCCTTCAGCCTGGCATCGTGGTGGATGCATGTAATTCTAGCACTCTAGGAGGCTGAAGCAGGAGGATCACAAGTTCGAGCCCAGCCAGGGCAACTTAGTGACATAGCAAGATTCTGTCTCAAAATAAAAATTTTTAGGGCAAAGCACTTTCCGGTCCCCCTTCTGTCTCTCTTAGAAGCTTTCTTTCTCTCAATAAAATTTTCCTACCCTTAAAACAAATTTTTAAAAAAGGGATGGGGATGTGACTCAGTGCAAATGTCCCAGTACTGCCAAATCAGTCAGTCCTGAAAAAGTCTCAAGTGCTCAGAAGATGGACTTTTGGAAGGTGATTGGATCAAGAGGATTAATCCACTGATGAGATCAAAATTGGGTGGTGTTATAGTCAGGGTTTTGAAAGGGAATACATTTAATATAGGACGCATAATTTATAGGGTTATTTCATAATAGTCACCCTAAAAGTCAAGTGCAGAGGAGTGAAAGAGATCTAGTTGAACACTAGAGACCCAAAGAATCCAGTCTAAGGCCTGGATCCCACAGCAATGTTCTGCACAAATCCAGCTGAAGGCATTGTTCTCCGCGAGTCTAGCCAGTGGCCTAGAGCCCATGGCAATAACTCATGCTTGTCTGTATCGAGAATTTGCACCAGGAAGGCCCAAAGGCCATGGTGGAAGCCAGAAAACCTGCCCTGGTGGGGTGAAGGATCTGTGCCACCAGGCTGAGGGATCTATACTGGAGCCAGGCAGTGATGCTTATGGTGAGGATCAGAGCTCCCTTGACAGAACAGCAGCCATTCCCAGTGACAGCGAGGCCCTGAGTTCTTCTTCTGAGAACAGTCCAGTTCAAACCTGGAAAACCAACTGCAGCAAGCTTCTCCTAGAAAATCAACAGCTCTCAGTCTTCCCCTTTAGTTCTGTTTTATGCTGTTGGCAACAGCCCTCAGGTGGGTCTTCCATGCCCAAACAATGAGGATTCAGTTCAGCTGGATGTCACAAGGTAACCTTTAGTTAATCCACCACAGGTGGCATTGCTGGGAGGCGGGACCTACTTGAAGGGAGTGGTCCCTGACCCCTTCCTCTCTTTCCTTCCCCTTCTGTTTCCTGGCTGACATGAGGTGAGGTGAGCAGCTTTCTTCCCTAATGATGTTTCTGCCATAGCAGAGCCTAAAACAATGGAAACAGTTAACCATGGACTGAAACCTCTGAAACTGAGCCAGAATAAACCTTTCCTCCTCTAACATGTTTTTCTCAGTTATTTAGTCGCAGTAATGAAAAAATTTCAATTTTTGAAATGCGTTTAATTGCACGCTATGTAAAATTTACAACTTTATCTTATTTTATTTTTGTGTTTTTGAGGCAGGGACTTGCTGTGTAGGCTGTCCTTAAATTCGCTGTGTAGCCCAAGCTGGCCTTGATCTCACAGTGACATTCCTCTTGCCTCAGCCTCTGGAGTGCTGGGATTACAGGCATGTGCCACCATGCCCGAGTATTTGCAGAATTTTTAAATCACCCAAGGAACTAATCTTTGAAGGAGTAGTGATCTAGCTCCAAATCCTGTGCATGATATCTTGCAGTATAGACAGGAAGTACATCAGGAACTCAGAAGAGGAAGAACCAGTGGAGACCTGGGGTTTCTACTGACCAGGAGAGTCTTTCTAGGAATGTGCAGGCTCCAGTGAAAGACAGGTTTAGACTAGAGAGGAGTGAAGAATGCTCATTCCAGGTAGGGGAAACGCACAAGCAGAGTGGCAGGGAAGGAAGCAGAAGACGGAGTCCATCCAACAACAGGTGCAGAAACTCTGCATGGGAAGTCTCAGAGCAGCCATCTGGCTAGAAAACTTGTCTTGAAATTGTACTCATGTAACAAGCCCTCTGCCTTCATTTCTGTTACCTGTTTACTTGGAAGCCTTGGGGGAAGTTTTGGGTATACCACTAAGCCTTGGTGCCACCTGATATGAACAGTCGATACTGGATGGAGAACTAGAACTAGCACTCAGTGGCTAACTAGAAATTCAAGGTAGAAGGTGCCTGCATTGGGGAACTTGGGCAGATGAGTT